ATTAAAGGGTCACAGCATCAGGAAGGTTGAGAACCACTGTGCTGGAGGCCTGGTCCGCAGTGCCACAGTAATGGGGGCAATGGAACGTTTAAGTCAGAGCCAGCAGCAGGCATGTAACCTTCTTACATTGTGGCAGACATTTTCATTGCTAAGCTTCATACTGGACAGTTACCAGGAAATAAAAAAATCATCTCACAGTGTTGTCAGCAGTTTATGATTTTGTGTTGGGCTGCATTCACAGCTGTCCTGGGGCTGCAGGATGGACCTGCCCATCTAGAAGAAGGCAGGTAGGTCACAGGGGATTGCTATCCCCAGAAAGGGTTAGTGTGTGCCCACGGGACCCAGGCCAGCTCGCGCACAGAGTGTGATGCTGCAAAGCAGCTGAGATGCTTGCTTCTGCACGTGGCCCTTTCCCGCCCTGTTTCCCAGAGAGCCCTGCAGAGGCCAGACTGACTGACAGTCTGCCCAGCCTTGGCCTTCAGACCCAGAACTGTCCACTGAATAAACTTCATTTATTCATTACCCAGCATGCAGTTTGTGTTACAATAACAGGAAACAGAGGCACAATGACTCAAGCTGCATGGGAGGCTGAGGTAGAGGATCGTTTCAGCCCAAAGGGTCAAGACCAGCCTGGGCATAGAAGGAGATCCCTCCATCAAAAAATAAAATGAAATAACAGAAAACCGATATACTCTGCAAGATGGCTGTTATGGCCACCTTCTTGCAGAGGATAAAAGTGGAATTTAGAGGGGCTGGAGAGATGGCTCAGAGGTTAAGAGCACTGTCTGTTCTTCCAGAGGTCCTGAGTTCAATTCCCAGCAACCACATGGTGGCTCACAACCATCTGTAATGAAATCTGGTGCCCTCTTCTGGTGTGTAGGCATATATGGGGGCAGAACAGTGTATACATAATAAATAAATCTTTAAAAAAAAATAGTAACATTTAAAAAAATTTTTTAAAAAAGTGGAATTTCGAATAACTTACCCCAGGTCTCAACACCCAGTGAGGAAGCTAAGGCATGAATTGATGACGTTCTAGCTCCCTGGGTAAGTTCCAACTGCGGGCAAAGAATGTGCTGCTGTACATGGCAACCCACAAAGACAAGAATCAACAGCCAAGAGCCAAGACTCGTACAGTGGCTGGGGCGGGGGGTGGGTGGGAGATGGGGGTGCTAGATGCACTTGCCACACAAACCAGAAGATCTGAGTTCAATCCCTGGAACCGACATGAAAGACCACACCATAAGTCGTCCTCTGCCCCTCGACACATGCTGTTGGCACTCACACAGTTGCTGACACACATGTGTACACACTTCATCATCATCCTCATCGTCAAGATCCACCAGCCAACCTCACAGAAGGCTAGGGACAACCTTTCGTGTCCAGGGCAGAGGAGCTGGGACTGTCCCTAACTTGGGCACACCCAAAAGCTGTGGGTGGGAATTATCAAGGTCACCTGGGGAAACACTTTGCTCTGAAAGTGCAAGTGCATGCTGTAAGGAAGAGGAAGCCAGGGATGGGCTTTCTGTACAGCACCTGAATGTCAGTCGTTCAGCACCGGCTGCAGGAACTTCAAGTAGTGGGAAACTCAAGTTAAAAATTAAAGGGCTCGGCAGCCAGGAGTGGTGGATCGTTGCCTGTGATCCTGCCATTCAGGAGACAGAGTATCACTGTCAGTTTGAGGCCAGCCTTGGCCACATAGTAAGTGCCCAGGTGGCCTAGCATAGAGTGAGACCCTGTCCAGAAAAGAAAAACTTAATTTACTAATTAAAAGCTTAATGCCAGGCACAGTGATATGTGTCTATGACCCCAGCACTCAGGAGGTGGAGGCTAGCCCAGACTACAAACATAATGAGAAACTTGCTTAAAAAAATAAGGCTGGCACAAAGGCTCAGCAGGTGTGGTGGTTTGAATGAGGATGGCCCCCAGAGGTTCACATATTTGAATGCTTAGTCATAAGGGAGTGGAACTGTTTGGGGAGGATCAGGAGGTGTGGCCTTGTTGGGGGAGGTGTCACTGGGAGTGAGCATTGGGGTTTCAAAAGCCTATAGGCCCAGTCTCTGTCTTTCTCTGTCTCTCTGTCTGTCTCTGTCTCTCTTATCTCTCTCTCTCTCTCTCCCTGCAGACCAGGATGTAAAGCTCTCAGCTACCGTTCCAGTGCCATGCCTGTCTGCTCCCTGCCATTATGGTAATGAGTTAATCCTCTAAAACATAAGAAAGCCTCAGTTAATTAAATGCTTTCTTTATGGGAGTTGCCTTGGCCGCGGTGTCTCTTCACAGCAACAGAACAGTGAGAGAGCAGCTTGCTGAGCAAACCTAGCACCTTAAACTCAATCCCAGGAACCCACGTGAAAATGGGAGACGAGATCCAACTCCATAAAGGTGACCTCTGACCTTCAAGAGCAGCGGCACATGGGTGCACACGCATTAATTAATTAAATGAAAGTTTGAAACACAATGTGGAATCCTGAGTTGGATCCTAGACCAGAAAAAAAAGGACAGTGGTGGGGAAAATTGGTGAAACCTGGAACCGGCAGTTCAGTTCATGTGTTGCACTAACATTATTCAGTTAGGATTGATCAATCATGATTGTGTAAGAGGTCAACATTGGTGGAAGCTGAGAAGAGATGAGAAAGAACTCTCAGTACTATTTTGGCAACTCTTTTGTAAGTCTAGCATGATTTTATTGGCACTCCTTTTCTGTTCCTAAATAGCTATGTAGCTATAAACAAGTTACTTCATCTTTCTGGGTCCCAGTTTTTCACCTATTAAATTAAAAATAGTAATAATAATGAAGCTGAGCGGTGGTGACACACGCCTTTAATCCCAGCACTCAGGAGGCAGAGGCAGGAGGGAATGCTGAGTTCAGAGTTAGCCTGTTCTACAAAGTGAGTTCCAGGCTATCCAGGACTATACAGAGAAACCCGGTCTCAAAAAACCAAAAAATAAAGAACTGAAATGAAATGAAAGCCAGGCATGCTGATGGAGGCATGCAGTCTTACTCAGGAGGCTGAGGTGGGAGGATCAGGCATTAGAGGTGAGCCTGGGCCACAGAGATGGGCTCTCATCCTGAGCCAGCAGGACGGTTTCATGGGGAAAGAGCTTGTTATGCAGGCCGATGGCCCGATTCAACCCCCAGAGTTCACATCAGGGTACAAGGGGTGGATGAAGTGGATGAAGTCTACAGGTTGCTCTGACCTTTACATGTACCACCATGGGATGCATGCACCCATGTACATTTTTTAAAATTTATTTTTGGTTTTTCAAGACAGGGTTTCTCTGTGTAACAGCTCTGGCTGTCTTGGAACTAGCTCTGTAGTCCAGGCTGGCCTCAAACTCACAGAGATCCATCTGCCTCTGCCTCCCCCGTTCTGGGATTAAAGGTGTGCACCATCACTGCCCGGCCATGTACATTTTTTGTAAAGAAATAACATGGGGTAGGAGAGGTGACTTGGCAGTTAAGAAAGCACACTGCTCTTGCAAAGGGCCCAGATTCCATCCACATAGTGGCTCACAACCATCCATAACACCAGTTCCAAGGGATCAGTTGGCCTCTTCTGGTCTCTGTAGGAATGCATGCATGTGGCACATACATACATATACTCAGGGAAACACTCTTGCACATAAAATAAAAATTTTAAAATAAAAGAAATATTACTTTTGGGCATTGGTGGAGCACACCTTTAATCCCAGCACATGGGAGGCAGAGCCAGAAGGATCTCTGTGAGTTCGAGGCCAGCCTGGTCTACAGAGCGAGATCCAGGACAGGAACCAAAACTAGATAGAGAAACCCTGTCTCAAAAAAACAATAAAACAAGAGCTGGAGAGATGGCTCAGAGGTTAAGAGCACTGACTGCTCTTCCAGAGGTCCTGAGTTCAATTCCCAGCAACCACATGGTGGCTCACAACCATCTGTAATGAGATCTGGTGACCTCTTCTGGCCTGCAGTCATACATGCTGTATATACATAATAAATAAATAAATCTTTAAAAAAAAAAAAAAGAAAGAAGGAAGGAAGGACGGGGGCGGGGGAGGGAGGGAGAGAGAGAGAGAGAGAGAGAAAAATATTGCTTTAAAAAGAAAACCTACCAATCTCAATTTTTAAAGGAGAAACACAAACTAGATAGTTTCCAGTTGCCTCCCTCTGCACCCCCCACTCTCGCACTCAGATCCCTACACAGCTGCAGGCCGACTGACTGAGTTTGCTAGGCATCTCCACATCCCTGGCGTCTGGATGTGGATCCCTGGTGTTCAGCACTATGCCTGTACCAGTGAGTGCTCAACAGAAGTTTCTGTAACTAAAACTCCATTCTTTTTCCCAAGTAGGCACAACTGGCATCTCTTTTACTTACTCGGCTACTAGAAAACAAAGTGCTCACAAAACTTCGTACACTGCAAGTGAATCCATCTTCACCCAGCAGGGGAGAGGGGATGGACCTTTACAACCAGAAGTCGGCACCTGGGTGGAGGAGGGAAGCCCCATCCAAACAATCAGAGGGGACCTGGGGGTGCGGGGTGAACAGAACACAGCTTCCCGGTGAGACCCCAGAGCTCACTTCCTCCTGCCCACCTTCCAGCATTCAAGGGTTTCCAAATCAAAACCCCTTCGTGGATGGGGGACGGAGCTGAAAAAGGGTGAACCCCACTCCCATGTCCTCAACAGGGGTGAGGTGTCCCCCACATTCATAAACAGTAAACACAGGTGCCGGAGAAGCTGACTATTGAAGAGGCAGAGAACATGATGCAACTGGATTGAGCTGGCTTCCAGATTTTGGCCCGGAAAAAAATGATAGTATCCAGACCCGGTAGAGCAAAGCCAAAGGGTCCCCGCTGTGAAGAAATTATTCCTGTCTATAAATAACTCCCCCTGCGGGGACAAACAGAAACATCAAAGGCTGGACACTCCAGCAGGAGCCAGGCTGGGCTGGCCGGCGAGCTCCTGGGGAACTGGAAAGGGAGTGTGTCCCCAGCGGGAGCCACGGGCAGCGGGCAGCACGTACCTCTAAGGCCGGGGAGTCCACGGCCCCTCACGGGCGCTGCTGGCCCACGGTGCTGCTGGCCCGCGGTGCTGCTGGCCCACGGTGCTGCTGGCCCGCGGTGCTCCTGGCCCGCGGTGCTGCTGGCCCACGCTACCGGCAGCTCCAGAGCCGGTGGCAATCAGCGAAATGCACGGGAATGGGGCGGTGCGTCTTCACCAACCACGACGCAGGTGGCGGCCTCGTGAGCAGGAACGGACCCTGGGAAAGGGCCAGATCCCTGAGGCCCCAGATCCTGGCCACACCCCAGCCGGGCTCGGGCAGTGCCAGGGCTACCTCTGCCCACTGTCGGCTGAGACTGGAGACACCACCAGGGCCCGCTGCACACAGGGTCGCTCCTCAGAAGTGTGACCTCCCTACAGGAGGACGAAGGGTGCCTGCTTGTCCTTTAGGGCTGCTGGCCTCCGAGGTCACCCCCTTGTGGGAGCCTGCAGCACCCTACTGACCCTGTAATGCGTCCCCTGTGCGCCTGTGCCTGCGAGCCTCTGTGAGAACCCTGTGCGGTGGGCGCTGGGCTGCTCCCCGGCACAATAATAAACCCTGCGGAAAGTTGTGCTGCGGAGAAGCAGGCGAAGCCAGGCCTCTGGAGAAGTTCCTCCTCCTCCTCTCAGCTGAGAGGAGGAGATTCTGACCTAACACTCTCCACCTTCCCCTTCTCACCCTAGGGATGGGGACCCTGAGAGGGTCTTGATTCTGACCTCTGAACTCTGATCCCTTCATTTTCAGGTCAACAGTTTCAAGAAGCCCCCACCCCATGCTTCCAGATTCGAGAATTTTGTGTGCACGGCTACTGGGCACTGAACTAAGGGTCTCGGGCCCCCTAGATACGCTGCTACTACTACTTACACACACACACACACACACGCACGCACGCACGCACGCCTTTGTGTTACTATTTTCAAACAAGGTCTTACTAGGTGATATGGGGCTATGGGAGGAGAGTAGAATACAGGTGATGTGGGGGGGGCTATGGGGAGGAGTAGAAAACAGGTGATATGGGGGGCTATGGGGAGTAGAATACAGGTGATGTGGGGGGCTATGGGGAGTAGAATACAGGTGATATGGGGGGCTATGGGGAGTAGTATACAGGTGATGTTGGGGGGGAGTCTATGGGGACAGATAGGAGAATACAGATGATATGGCGGGGAAGACTATGGGGAGGGAGGTTTAGTTGGAGGGATGGAGGCGTAAGTATGAGGAGGAGATAGGGGAAGAGAAAACTAACACTAAGGATGTTTGGGAAACCCAAATGGAAACCTATTATTTTATGTGTATTCATTACTTTTCTGATAAAACATTATGTCTTCAACTGTAAGCATGAAGCAGATGTGAACTGGAAATGGGGCGAGGCTATGAAGTCTCAAAGAGTACTTCCTCCAGCAAGACCACACTTTTTAACCTCCCCGAACACCACCACCAACTGGGTACCACGAGTTCAAATACATGAGCCTATGAGGGGCATTTCTACTTCAAACCACTACAGTAAGCTTCATGTGGGTGTGTGCGTGTGCATGTGTGTGTGTCTTCCTCCTAAAGCCATAGGTTAACAAAAACCCCAGTGCGAGCTACAGGATACCTCCCCTTGAGTTGTCGGTCAGAAGTGTCCCAGAGCCCCCCAAATAACACAAGCTATTGTGTTCCTGACTGACCCTCAGCACTTGATGGTAAGACCCTCTTGCTGAAGATGACACACAGTGGTCACTGGACATGGAGAAATCATTAGTACTGACCAGGGAGTTTACTCCTGCTAGCTTTCATGGCGCTAGAAGGTACTATGTAGGCTGCATAGGGGGAAATTCATAAATAATCACCCCAGCTTTGAACCCTGTAATTTGTAATGATGAGCAGTGTGGCAAGACATACCCATGCATGAACTAGTGGCTCAGATGTTAGGGAGATAATTAACCACTCTCTGATTGGATTTAAGCCAATCTCCACAGGAGGAAAGGTATGCCTGGTACTGTGAATCTCGCCAAGAAGCGACGGTTGTGAGGTCACAAGCCCCAGGAGTGGAGCACTTGCTGTTATTCTGCTGAATGGAAATAGTATCAAGCCACCCTCCAAATTCTTACCCTGCACCCATAGATTAAAGCGGCTCCCAGACCTCAGGGACACTTCGTTGTGCTGTGGACAGCACAAGTGGTCAAAGTGCAGAGAGTAAGTGCAACAGAGTACTCTGACACAAATGTGACATCCATATACTGCACAGCGTATCACACACACACACACACACACACACACACACACACACACACACACACACGTATGAAGCGTAATGACACACAGGACCTGAGATATTAGTAATTAAGATTGCAGTAAAACACCTGGGAGGAGCTGGAACGATGGCTCAGCCGTTCAAGGCATTGCCTGCTCTTTGCAGACGACCCAGGTTCAATTCCCAGCACACACGTGGTGGCTCACAACCATGTACCTCCAGTTCCAGGGGAGCTTCTGGCCTCCGCAGGCACACAAGTGGTACACAGACATATATGTAGGCAAGACACCAAAACACACAAAGTAAAAATAAACAAATCTTTGAAAACGAACAAGAAGCCGTGACTGCAGCAGCCATCCAAGGAAACCTGGAGCACTTGGAAGTGCAACCAACAAATGTGACATCGCTTTTGAATTTATTGTTATTCATACATTGTGACACTGTGGAAAGACAAATGTACACATGCTCCTGACATCGAATGCTCACACGAAAATAAGGCTCAACTCTTTTCCAAAGTATCACCATTGACCCACATGCCCATTATCAGTGATCTTTGTTTTCAACTCAGTAATTTTAGGCCTTCCCTGCCTCCCCCCACCCACCCACTCCCATTTTAGATTTCTACTGATTTTCACAACTGCTCTGCTCTGGAGACTGATGAATCTCTGCACAGAAAGCTTCACACTGTGGGGCTTGGGAAAATCTCAGGGCAATGCACCAGCTAATTACAAATACCTCATTGTCCAAGCTCTAAATTTAGGTCAGAGCAGGCCCTGGGATAATGGCCGGGGCGTTATTAACCTGAGAAGTCTGATGGAAGCCGGGGGTGGGGCCTTCCTAGTACCAGGGGCTCCTCTGCACAGAGCACACACCTGCTATGGAGAGCATGGCTATGTATGTGCCCAGCTCTGCTCTCACCTCCAGTGTCCCTAACCGCCTTGCTCTCACCTCCAGTGTCCCTAACCGCCTTGCATTTAAGTCAGCCCTTCTCCTCACAGACCGTAACATTTACACTTCTTCATTTGGTAGTCATAATCTAGGCACTTACCTTAAAAATGTTAACAAAGGAGGAACAATATTTTATTTATTTATTGGTTTTTCAAGGCAGTGTTTCTCTGCAGCTTTGGCTGTCCTGGAACTTGCTTTATAGACTTAGGCCTCAAACTCAGAGATCCACCTGCCTCTGCCTCTGCCTCTGCCTCTGCCTCTCTGCCTCTCTGCCTCTGCCTCTGCCTCTCTGCC